GAAAACGGTTTTGACCTAAAACGCAGCTATATATATGGATATAAGGGCTGGACGTTTTTGACACGATTATGACTGCGGTTTCTACTAGAATTTTGCCCACCCAAAATTCTCTATTTTCGGTTATTGTTTGGGTAACACAATAGAAGACTTGGAAATCTGCTGGTGTGTTTTCAACTGAGGAACTGGAGAACGACATAGATTTTTTGTGTTTACGCTTCAAGAGGTAATCCTAAAATCTCTATACGTGCTAGTTGTTTAGATTACACGTGAATAAGATTTTGTTATTGCTTCCGCTCTGGTATATATATTCCTACAATTGGTATCAGAGCCTACTCACGTCTAATTAAATAATTAGGATAAACCATAAGGATTAATATCATGTTCTATATGCAAGTTTTGAATTACATGCAAAGTTTGTTTTTCTGAAAACCTGCACTGTTTTTTTTTTGTGTGATTATCTGTTATGGATTGTGTTGATTATTCTGAAAACTTGATGTATCCTTTTAATATTGGTGATATTGAGTTAGAATAATCTGAAAGTTGAATTTTATCATGTAAAACAGAAAAACAAGTTTTGCCGAATTAGGGCAGAAAATCGGAGGTCAAAAAGGTGACGGACTCCGATTGACCTGAAACTTGGCAGGTCCATGCGAAACGGCCCAGTGAGCAGTACTCATGAGTCATGAGTGAAGTCGTTTTTTGGGCTTTTGGGGTCGTTTAGATGGTGTTTTTGCTGTTTTTCTAAAATTCTGAATTTTTTTTGTTATTTTTAATTCCAGTAATTGTGGGGATCAATTCCCTTGGTCCCCGGGTTTAAAAAATTAGTGATATAATATTTTTACACGTTGACGTAGGTCTTCTTCCATATCAGATAAAAATATTATGAATAATCACTATGTTATACTAGTCAATGATTATTTGTATTTACTCTCCATCTGAGTATGCATGTTGGTTCAATGGGACTAATATATGTTGAATGTTGATATTCACTTGGCTTAAA